GATTTGTAACGGCGTTAACGTAGCAGGGAGAGTGTGCATGCAAAAGTATATTACAATGGGGTATGACGCAATTTTTAAAATACAGGGGGAAAACGCGCAAATTTAGTATATTACAGAGGGGTTTGGTGCAATTTACACGATTTATATAATACAAAAAGCCCTGTTCTTTCGTAATAGTGTTTAATATATAAAGCGTGTTTTGAGTTTCATTTGGGTGTTTGTTTTCCCGCGCTCAAAATTTCACGCTAGGGTTTTCGCAATCAAATTCTCTCTGCTCAGAATAGGTGCTTCGTGATGTCTGCCGTCGAAACGAGTGCTCCGATGGACATATCGGAGCCTAATCCCACCGTATGTGATGTTCCCGAGCAAGACGCCGGCGTTTTCGAGCCACCGGATGTGCGCCATGCTCCGCCGCCGCTGCAGCCGCCGCCGCCTCCTTCTATTTCTCCGCCTCCTCCTTTCCTCAACGAAGATAAAGTTACCGTTTCAGGTGGGTGAAAGCTTGTGCTTATGTAAGTACGCAATTCGGACTTCTTTGGTTTGTTGGTAAAGCTGGTGGATTTTGTTTTGTGTTTCCAATGGTAGGTCTGTCTCAGATTCTATAGTGTTTTAGCATTATGGCGTTTGCTTGATTTTACTCCGGTTTGTTGTTGCAGTTGAAGTTTTGCTGAAACCGTCAAGCACGGCGAAGTCTGATGATGTCCAGTTGGCAGTCGAAAGGTAGAATTACGATCAGTTCTGCGCCTTTGAATTTGTTGATATATAACACTTTTGGTTTAATTTCTAGCAATAATGTAATATTCTTATGGTTTCTTCGTAGAATGCTGGAAAAGAGAAGCATGAGCTATGTAGATGGTTCGATCTCTGTACCACTGGATGATACGTTTCTGGTGGATAATGTAGAACGTATATGCATATGTGATTCAGGTAGTCTATAATTCCGAGTCCAAAGTTAATTTCTTTAGAGAGGACGGGCATGAAATTTACAACTTTATTATCCTTTCACTCTCCTTGTAAATAGCAAAGAACTGAAATCTTTTTAATCGGTCCTGTATATGGTGTTGTTTATTTATTGACTTTAAATTTTGGTGATTCATAGACGTGTGGGTGGAAAATCATGACATTCTTTTATTCTGGCAAGTCAAACCTGCTGTGCATGTTTTCCAGGTCAGTTTTGTCACTAGTGGTGCTTATAATTGTTTGCTTTCATTTGTCGACTACTCCCCCCAACTTTAGAATTCAGAGGCTGTGAAATAACTTTATTTTAAAGCAATCTGTAACTGTGTGTTAGCTTCTAAGCTTTCAAAGTTTGAAAACTATTTATCATCGTGTGATAGACCATAACCTTCTACTGGAGTGTAATAGAAAAAACAAAAAGAAAACATATCTTTGCGACTAAATACTCATATGTCAACTGTATTTTCAGCTCAGTGAGGAAGGGCCATGTGAGGATATAAGCAATGATGGTCAACTTGCTAGCTTCAATGAATGGATTCTTCCTGCAAAGGAATTTGATGGCATGTGGGAAAGGTTCGTTTAAGGATATCTATTTTCAGAATTTGATTATATAGAATCTTACAGGCATGGTTTGCCTGTTCTCTGCAGCTTAATTTATGATTCAGGTCTCAAACAGAGGTTACTTCGTTATGCAGCGAGTGCTTTGCTTTTCACTGAGAAGTGTGTTAATCCTTTCCTTGTTTCATGGAATCGGTAAGTTTTGCTGATTTGAGAGAACTTCACTTGCTCATCCAT